GGGATACAAGAGAAATTTTTTCTTAATACAATTTTTTTTATTCAAAATTTATAAACGCTTATTAAATGTCCGGTTAACCCAAACCGGAGGTTAGAGCTCCAGTTAAATACAACGACTGCTTCATCGAAAACGTCGCTAATGATGTTTAACGAGGAGTAAGTGATAACCAGACATTGTTTTAGTCTAAGGGCCGTTTTCATCATCTCTGGTTAACACTAACCGCAGGCTAAACATCATTATTGACTCCCTGTTATATATTATGGACTCGATCACATCGATAGAGTATACATTCTTAAGTACGTCGAGCCCTGAACTAAACTCTTTTCCAAGTTCATGGAATAATTCGCAATTTCGCTGACGTAAACTTGGGTCATGCTATTCAAAATCGGATCTAAAGTAAGTTGACCAAGTTCCTTATTTAATACCACCACTTCCGTCAGAATTAGTAGCCGAGCCGTTTAATGTGTAACAGTTTGATAGCAAATGATAAGATTTAAGGCAGTACTGCAGCGTTTTACAGTAGCCAGCAAATATTGCTTTGGCGGTGATAATGACAATAAAAAAGTGGTAATATTGTCAACAAATTATTTCTTGGTTCATATTTATCGCCCTGCCTAGAACTTGCCGAAACACTGTGATTGATAAGAAAAAAGTTCCCACAAAAAAAAAGCTGTCAATAACGGTTATGAATTAAATGAAATTGTGAGAATATCCGTAAGGTATAATAAAATTCTTATCAATTCAATAGCAGTAAGTATACACTCTAAGACTTTATAGTGATAATTTAATCTGACCAATATAGTGTATGTGGATACATTTCCCAGAAATATTAGTTTGATAAACAATTACTGTTACTCACAAAATTGAGGGTACGGCTCTTTTTTGTTAATATTCGCAATGTTTTAGATGGTAAAAATTTTCAGACTTTTCTTTTATGAAAAAAATACGTAGGACAGACAGCCAGCAAAAAAAAAATTCATAAATCAACGCGAATTTTTAGATATCATTTGAAATTTGCACATTATTATATTAAAATCGAATGGACTTTAAAACCGCATACCTGCATTCATTTCGGAAATTCGTATTAAAAAGTTCGCGATTTTGCTAAAACTTTGCGGATTTTTCGTAAATTTTGTACACAATATCATATCTTGGATTTAAATGTACTTTGCTAAAATATAAGCCATATTTTAAAACAAAATTAACAATCAAATTTTAACGTGTAAAACATTGCGAATATTAACAAAAAAGAGCCGTTCGCTCAATTTTGGGAGTAACTGTATGAAAACTTTCCTTTAGTATAAAAACCGGACGAACTGGTTAAAAACCAGCAGTACCTGCTGTCAACTATTAGTGAATAACTTGAAATTTTGCTTCATTTGGTCAAAAGTATTAAAAATTAAAAAAAAAAAACATGAAAATCATTGTCCAGGTTTGCGTTATATTTGCCATCGTCGCCATTGCTTACTCAGCGAGCACATCATGGGGCATACAAAACGCTACTGATTCGCTTATACTCAGTAAAAATGTAGTTTACCCAGCTATTCGCAATACTGCACAGACACATTACTTCAGTATTCCGCAATCGGTAAGTCTGAGCAATATTTTTTTTAATATCATTAAATTCATCACAGCAGTTAAACTTTCTTCTTTACTTGCAGTACCAAAGTAATAACAAATTAATCAGCGCTATTTACTTGCAAGATCAATTCATANATATTTGCCATCGTCGCCATTGCTTACTCAGCGAGCACATCATGGGGCATACAAAACGCTACTGATTCGCTTGTACTCAGTAAAAATGTAGTTTACCCAGCTATTCGCAATACTGCACAGACACATTACTTCAGTATTCCTCAATCGGTAAGTGTGAGCAATATTTTTTTTAATATCATTAAATTCATCACAGCAGTTAAACTTTCTTCTTTACTTGCAGTACCAAAGTAATAACAAATTAATTAGCGCTATTTACTTGCAAGATCAATTCATTAATGGCTCGGGTCCAACAAACTCCTTGATTTGGGGTGGTCCTGGTTGGACGTATGCTACAATTCAAATGAGAACTCAATCTAATAGTGGTCTTAATGTAACTGTTGTTGTTTACGGTAAATAGATAAGTGTTGAAATAAAGGAAAATATATGTAGGAATAATGCCTTTTAATTTAAACTATCTATGTACTAGGGTCGGCCAGTAGGGCCGTGACTTTTTCAATAAGGGATTGTTCATAGGCTTAAAAGCTATTTACATATTTCTAAACAATTTGCCTTTATGTCTAACCAAACAATTCGCACAGCGTTTCTTCAACTTCGTGATGACCTTGTGATCATCAATCAATCGTGAGTAAACACAGCACGCGTCTTGTTCTTAGTAACTACTGAAAATGTGACGCCATGAAATCGCAGTCTCTTCGGTTTGGATTTTGGATGACAATTATTTAATTTTTTTTCGGTATTATCTTTCTGTTATCAGTCAGTCGAAGTCCAGCCACTTGACAGCATAGGATGAAATCATCTACGCAAAAATAATTTATATTTTCTTTGGTCTTTTGTGTTTTATGTTAGTTTTGCTTTTAAGTTTTTCTTTTTTCTTTTAATAGTCCCTGAAGATGACTTTCGTTGAGAGCCGAAATATCGGACATTTGTAAAAACAAAAAAAAAACTTGACCTCAGGCTCGAAAAGAAACCAGAAAAAATATCTATAACTAAAGGTCGATTAAATAAATTCTTACATAGATAAATATTATTTTTAATTTAACTTGACTTTTAAGAACTTATTTACTTTTTTTCTTTTTTTTTAATTGAATTATATTTTAGTTTTTAAATCTAATTATGTTTTTGTTTTTAAATTTAGTTATCTTTAAGCTTTTAACGTTTTTGAAACTTATTTTATGAACTTTTCCTTTTTAATTTAATTTTTTCTTTTAAGTTTTAGAGATAATTTTTTTAAGGAGAAAAAATATTTTGTTTTCTGGTATAATATTTAGAAACTTATTTAATTTTTTCTCTATTTTTTATCTCTTGCGTTGTTATTTAATTTTCTTTTGATTTTTAAACGAAAAATATTCATTTTAATTTACATAATTTAATTTTTAAAAACTCATTTAAGTTTTTTTCTTTTTTTTAGTCTAATTATCGTTTAGTTTTTAGATTTTATTGTTTACAAAAAAATTAACTGTATTTTCTGTGTTTTCGTTTTTTCTTAAATATTTTTTTTTTTCATTCTAAATTTCGTTTTGTGTTAATCTTTGGATTCTGTTCTTAAATTTTTTTTTTCATTTAATTTTTGGAAACTTTTTGTTTGTTTTTGTAAAGGAAAAAAAATGCAATTTATTTAATTTTTAGAAAACTTATTGCTAAAAGACAAACAGGTTAGCGCTAAGACCCCCTCGTTNTTTACATAATTTAATTTTTAAAAACTCATTTAAGTTTTTTTCTTTTTTTTTTAGTCTAATTATCGTTTAGTTTTTAGATTTTATTGTTTAAAAAAAATTAACTGTATTTTCTGTGTTTTCGTTTTTTTCTTAAATATTTTTTTTTTCATTCTAAATTTCGTTTTGTGTTAATCTTTGGAATCTGTTCTTAATTTTTTTTTCATTTAATTTTTGGAAACTTTTTGTTTGTTTTTGTAAAGGAAAAAAATTCAATTTATTTAATTTTTAGAAAACTTATTGCTAAAAGACAAACAGATTAGCGCTAAGACCCCCTCGTAAGCAGATCTTTCAATTAGTCTTTCGAAATACAGAAAATAGCGCTTTCAAGATAGATGCCAGATACGTCTTTCGAAAGACTGTGGTGAGCTGGAAGCCAGTTGGCAAAATTGCCCTGTTGGCATGGCTAAGTTTTTTCGGTTCTGCGATCAGGTGGTATTGATGCTAAACAAGAAGACCCTGCCGTTCGTAGAAAATACGGCCACGATTAAAAACTGCCCATTGTCTAATAGCTATTGCCGAAATAAAACATATTTAATGGGTTATAACAGAGACCAAAAAATCGAAATCCCGACCACACTTGGGAATGTATATGTAAGATTACATTCCATGAGAATAATTTGGATACTTGGAAATAGAGATAGTTAGAATGNGGTTCTGCGATCAGGTGGTATTGATGCTAAACAAGAAGACCCTGCCGTTCCTAGAAAATACGGCCACGAAAACTGCCCATTGTCTAATAGGTATTGCCGAAATAAAACATATTTAATGGGTTATAACAGAGACCGAAAAATCCAAATCCCGACCACACTTGGGAATGTATATGTAAGATTACATTCCATGATAATAATTTACATATGTACTTGAAAGTAGAGATAGTTAGAATAAATATCAAATAGATAATCAAGTCCACTCACCTGTATGGCCGCTCTCGCTCCACGACTTATCGCTGGCATAACGCTCGTATGCAAAACGCATTGTTTCTTTTGCCCATATGTCATGCCGTCGACTAGATAGCAATTGTCGGGATTCAAATCTATTGGCTCCGAATACGCCGGCACCGTCGGACTTGGCGTACTGCTGTTATTTGTCGAAGATGTGACACTTCGATCTCCACTCGAAACGACGAAATCCCGATTACCCGTTATGACCGCATCACGCTCCAAATAGCTCGGTCCATATTTGGCGGCAAACTTATCATTATTGCTAGCGCGACGTCCTTGTATACCGGCACCAATATTGCGTCGTTTATGATGCGAACGTATGGAACGTGAAAGCAATTGTAATTCGCCTTCGTCAGCACGTATTGAAGGCGTCGGAGTTGTTTCCCTGCTCTCATTGTACGGTATCTTGAATGAGTCAGGTATTTCGATGGACACCGCAAAGCGTTTTGTGTTGTTCAGCGTCTGAATGTAGGGTTCGTAGTGCGGCCGTAGATATTCACGTTGCTCGCGCAACAATTGCTCACGATGGCGCTGACGTNTGTAAGATTACATTCCATGAGAATAATTTGGATACTTGGAAATAGAGATAGTTAGAATGAATATCAAATAGATAATCAAGTCCACTCACCTGTATGGCCGCTCTCGCTCCACGACTTATCGCTGGCATAACGCTCGTATGCAAAACGCATTGTTTCTTTTGCCCATATGTCATGCCGTCGACTTGATAGCAATTGTCGGGATTCAAATCTATTGGCTCCGAATACGCCGGCACCGTCGGACTTGGCGTACTGCTGTTATTTGTCGATGATGTGACACTTCGATCTCCACTCGAAACGACGAAATCCCGATTACCCGTTATGACCGCATCACGCTCCAAATAGCTCGGTCCATATTTGGCGGCAAACTTATCATTATTGCTAGCGCGACGTCCTTGTATACCGGCACCAATATTGCGTCGTTTATGATGCGAACGTATGGAACGTGAAAGCAATTGTAATTCGCCTTCCATTCTAACTATTTCTATTTCCAAGTGTCCAAATTATTCTCATGGAATGTAATCTTACATATACATTCCCAAGTATGGTCGGGATTTCGAATTTCCGGTCCCAGCTATAACCTATTAAATATGTACTATTTCGGCAATACCTATTAGACAATCGGCAGTTTTTAATCGTGGCCATATTTTCTAGGAACGGCACAGCCTTATTGTTTAGCATAAATACCACCTGACCGCCTTTGGCAATTTTGGCAACAGGCCAGATGTATCTGGCATCCATTTTGAAAGCGTTATTTTCTGTATTTCGAAAGACTAATTGAAAGACTTGCTAACGAGGAGGTTAATCTGATTGTCTTTTAGAAATAAGTTTTCTAAAAATTAAATAACTTGCATTTTTTTGCTTAACAAAAACAAACAAAAAGTTTCCAAAAATTAAATGAAAAAAAAAGTTTAAGAACAGAATCTAAAGATTAACACAAAACGAAATTTAGAATGAAAAAATATATATTTAAGAAAAAAACTAAAACATACATAAAATACAGTTGATTTTTTTTAAACAACAAAATCTAAAAACTAAACGATAATTCGACTAAAAAAAAGAAAAAATTAAATGAGGTTTTAAAAATTAAATAATGTAAATTAAATTGAATATTTTTCGTTTAAGTATCAAAAGAAAATTAAAAAGTAAAGCAGGAGATAAAAAAT